GAAACTCTGTCTCAAAAAAAAAAAAAAAAAAAAAAGAGAGATGACTATGTTGCCCAGGCTGGTATCAACTGTCCTGGGTTCAAGTGATCCTACTGCCTCATTCTCCCAAAGTGCTAGGATTACAGGCATGCGCCACCATGCCCAGCCCAGAGTTCCATTCTTTGGAATCATTTTGTAATCTCCAAGATGTTGTTGCCCATGCTTTTTTTTTTTTTTTTTCCTTTTGACACAAGGTCTCACTCTGTCACCCAGGCTGGAGTGCAGTGGCATGATCTCTGCTCACAAGTGACACTTCTACCTCCTGGGCTTAAGCAATTCTCCTGCCTCAGCCTCCCGAGTAGCTGGGATTACAGGCACGCACCACCATGCACAGCTAATTTGTTGACTGATGACGTGGGGACATCAGTCAATAGAGACGAGGTCTCACTATGTTCAGCCCAGGCTGGTGTCAAACTCCGGAGCTCAACTGATCTTCCCACCCTGGCCTCCCAAAGTACTAGGATTACAGGCCTGAGCCACCACATCCAGCCACAAAAGTTTTGAATGAGAAACCTTTCAGAGGAGAGACTCATGACAGAGGTACTGAGACATCTAATTACTTATTGTAGAGAGGAGAAAGGGTAGAGCATAGACTTACAAGCCATTTATCAAACAGGCATAAAGAGTAGAGTCTTGGCCAGACAGAGGTTAGTGTCTTTTTCTTTTTTAAATGGAATTTTGCTCTTGTTGCCCAGGCTGGAGTGCAGTGATGCAATCTCGGCTCACTGCAACTTCGGCCTCCTGGGTTCAAGTGATTCTCCTGCTTCAGGCTCCTGAGTAGCTTGGATGGATTATAGGTGTCCACCACCACACCTGGCTAATTTTTTTTTGTATTTTTAGTATAGATGGGGTTTCACCATATTGGCCAGGCTAGTCTCGAACTCCTGACCTTAGGTGATCCATCCACCTCAGACTCCCAAAGTGCTAGGATTACAGGCGGGAGCCACCACACCCAGCCCAGTGTCATATTTTAAATTAAACCTTTAGGAAATTGAGATTCTATGAAGTCTGTTTATTGGTAATAGCAAGAAAGTGGGGAGATGGAAGTCTCTCAAAACCTATTCTGATTCCAGAGGCTGCTCAATTCACAGAAAAGAGAGAGAGAGAAAGAAATAGATACATAGATAGATAGATATAGGGGAAAGAAATTGAAGAACTAGAGATAAAGACTTTCAGCCCCAGAATTTTACCATGTGACTGTATTACACTGACAAAATAAACGTAACAAAATAAAACTGCATGTTGATAAGATAAAGGTATAATTATTGGATTAGGGGCAGTGTTCCAGTATGAAGTTCTAAGCAAAAATGTGGGTAAATGATTTCATAAGTGCATATTTTATACATATACATGTTTTAGCTTTTGTAAAAGTTGCAGAATATAACATATACAAAAGAGTCTAAAATATAAATGTACAGTAGCAAAAAAATTCTGAACCACTACCCAGGCCATGAAAAAGCAGAACGCCTTCCAGAGTCCTTCCTGACATCCTTCCCATGCTCTGAACTCCTAAAATTACAATATTCTCATTTCCTTTTTTCTTTCATGATGTGTATATGCGTATATATATACATACATACATATGTATACATATTGACATACACACACACTTTTTTTTGAGACAAGGTCTCTTGCTCTGTCTCCTAGGCTGGAGTGCAGTGGTGCGATCACAGCTCACAGCAGCCTCAACTTCCCAGGCTTAAGGGATCCCTGGCTAATTTTTTTAAATTATTGTTTTGAGGAGATGGGGTATTACGGTGTTATCAGAGCTGGTCTCAAGCGACCCTCCTGCCTTGGCCTCCCAAAGTGCTGTGGGATTACAGGTGTGAGCCATCATGCCCAGCCTATATTTTTATTTATGCATGCTTCTGAGAAGTTTCATAGAAATCTTTTCAAAAGGAAGTTTAGTGTGGTAGAAAGAGCGCAGATTTAGGAGTCAGAAAAAGCAATGTTTAAAGGCCAGGCCTGCTGTTTACCAGCTGTGCGACCTTGGCAAGTCACCCCTCCTCCAGGCCTTTTTCCCATCTGGACATGCAGGTGAGACCACCAGCAGGTTCCAGGACTGTCTAAGAATTCAACTCATGAACATTTAGATAACAAGTTTATTGAGACCTCCTGAGACTTAAACCCTGTAGAAAACAGAGATGAATCGAACCCAGTTCCCATTCTCAGGAAGCTCACAGTGTGAAAACAGGTAACTGCAAAACAACACAGCCAATAAGTGCTTTGAGACAAGAAGAACATAAAAAGGACGTAGTGTTTGAAAATCTGGAATCAACAACTAACCGCAGAGAAAGGTGGGAGGATGTTCTAGACTCCCAGGAAAAGCTTGGGAACATCTAGAAAGGCTCTTGCCGCAGACACAGCCACATCCGCCTAGGTCTCTGGAGTTCACTGCAGGCTGGCCCATTGCAGGGAGGTGTAAACCACCTTACCATCAGGCTGCGGAGAACAGAGGAGCAGGGTCTTTCTGACGCTGGTTCCAAGGCGCCCAGCAGCAACCAGGTCCTGGAGTGGGATGGGGTCCTCGGGGGCCCAGCATTGAGCGATATAGTGGGCGTGGAAGCGGAGTGGGTCACCTGGAGGGGACAAAGGCACTGAAGCAGTGGCCAATGGCGGGGGTAGTAGCCACAGGAATGACCCCTGGTAGGAGATGTGAGATCATTTCAGCAATCCCTATGGATGCTCTAAAACAGGTAACGCTTGGACCAACTACTACACTTCTAGAAATTTTTTTTTTTGAGATGGAGTCTTGCTTTGTCACCCAGGCTGGAGTGCAATGGCTCACTGCAACCTCGACCTCCTGGGTTCAAGCAATTTTCCTGCCTCAGCCTCCCAAGTAGGTGGGATTATAGGCATGTGCCACCACGCCTGGCTAACTTTTATATTTTTAGTAGAGACAAGGTTTCACCATGTTGGTCACGCTGGTCTCGAACTCCTGACCTCAGGTGATCCATCCACCTTGGCCTCCCAAAGTTCTGGGATTACAGGTGTGAGCCACTGTGCCTGGCAATTTCTTTTTTCTAAGAGGATTGCTCTTACATCTTTTTTTCTTTTTTAAAGACAGAGTCTCCCTCTGTCACCCATGCTGGAATGCAGTGGTGTGATCTCAGCTCACTGCAACCTCCGCCTCCAGGGTTCAAGCGATTCTCCTGCCTCAGCCTCCCAAGTAGCTGGGACTACAGGTGCCCACCACCACACCCAGCTAGTTTTAGTATTTTTAGTAGAGATGGGGTTTCACCACGTTGGTCAGGATGGTCTCAAACTCCTGACCTCAGGCAATCCACCTGCCTCAGCTTCCCAAAGTGCTGGCCTCATGTCTGCTTCTGAGTTAATCTGGATCACAGTAAGCATTTAATAAGAGTCGCTAAACTGCTTGCCCAGTGACTTCGGGAGCTCCCAAATGTTTCCTGTCCATCGGTGAATGAAAGAGGCTAACAGAAAGTGAGACAAAAAAGAAAAATGCAGCTGGGCCTGTAATCCCAGCACTTTGGGAGGCTGAGGTGTGAGGACTGCTTGAGCCCAGGAATTGGGACAATAAAGACCCCACCTCTATTCAGAAAAGAAAGAAAGGAAAACCGCAGAATACATTGGGATTGTGAAGACTAGCACAGCAACCAGAGGCCCCAACCCAAACTCACCCGGATAGACCAGGAAGTCTCCTCCGAACTTGCCAGCCGCACTGAGGAAGAAGCCCCGCTCCCACAGGTCTCTGTAGATGCTGTAGCGCAGCTCATGGGCAGGGCGGCCGGCGTGGGGCCAGTCTTTAGACTGGACACGCCAGTCCAGGGGCCTGGCCTTAACAGGTCGAGGCCTGGCAGTGGCCAGCTGGACAAGGAGAGCAGATCTGGGCAAGGGGGCTACTCCATTTGAGGGTCCTGCTTGGGAAGAGGAAGAACCTGGTGGAAGTACAGAGAAGAGTTTGGTAAATGCAAGGGGCAAAGTCTTCCTACCCTCAGGGAGACCCAGGCACTGGATTCCCAGCTAAAATTCCCAAAAGATCTCTTCTTTCCTTCCCATGGTCCCTGGACTCCACCTCCCACGCTCACCGGCTTCCTCCTGCTCTCCGGAAGCCTGGAGATCACTGGTGTCGTTCACTTTGGCAGCCTGGCCCCCGCCGGCCTCCTGGCTCGCGCTGGCCCCTGAGGCCTGTTCCAGCTTCTGCTTCTTGGCAGCCTGGCCCTCCGTAATCTTCTCTAGGAGCTCCTGCCGACGAGTCTCCCGTGCCTCAGCTGCCAAGGCGTTCTGCTCCTGGAAGCTCTGCTCTTGCTGGCGCTTGAAGGATGACAGGGCCTGAGAAGCACACTTCGCTGGAACCTCCAGGCTTACGGTCCCTTCGGAAGCCAGTAATCCGGACTCTCAGGCCCCGCTCCCACCAGATCCAGGAGTTCGAGCCCCGCCCCCTTACCAGGCTGTGGTGCCGAGGGTCTGGGCGCGGGGCGCTGACCAGAGTCACGGCGCCGATCTCTGCCAGGAGCCGCGCCTCTTCGGGCATCAACAGCAGCGGGAGGCCCAAGCGTGAGTTCTGGCGGGGCCCGCGGGGCAGGGCGCCTACCGTGCGGCCCCCCACTCCCAGGCGCTCCCGGAGGGCCTGAACCGCCTCGGCCCCCCACACCAGGGAGCGGCCATTCGCCACCTCCACCACCAGCATCCTCCTGCGGGAGCCGGGAGGCAAAGCGATCACCGAAACAGCCGCGCGCTGCCGGCCGCCCAGAAAGCACCCAGCGCCTCGGGGATCTGGCGAAGCCCCGAAGCCCCGCCCCCAGGCGCGAGGGCGGGGCCTCGCTCGGCCGCTGTTCGCCACCTGCTGGGCCCAAATGCCAGGCCCCGCCCCCGGACGATCCCACCAGGCTCCAAGGCCGCAGGTGACTGGCCCGTAGCCTTCACTCTTCGCCGCGTCCCCGGAGCCCCGCTCAGCCCTTGTGACCCTGCGGTCGGCACGCGCTCTGTGCCCATACTGCCGTACCTGCCATTGCGCTTTCAAGTCTCAAAAACAAACCACAATCGTTGCGACTCGCCCCCTTATAAAGGTCCATTTTGGCGCCACCCTCTGGCAAAGTGGGCGTTCCCCTTCGGGTGTTCCCGTCGGGGATCAAAAGCTCTCGAAGCGAAAGCAACGCCGAGACCACACCCTCTTCGGGACGCTCGGGCCTTAGCTCCTCCCCTTTCCGAACCACTGTGATTCGGCTTTCGGGCCTACTAGCTCTGACTCCCACAGTACGAAACCCTGCCCCCTCCCTAGAGAGGAAGGTTCGGCGTTCGGGGGTCTTCGACTCCACCGAGTCCGCCGCCCCGCCCCCTTCTAGAACGTGAGAACACCCTTCAGCGTTCGGGTGTTCTCGGCTCGGCCGACAACGTAGCCCCGCCCCCTCCCGGTCGCACAGGGTTCGACGTTCTGGCGTCATCGGCTCCCGGCAGTCCCGGAGCCTGTGGCCCCGCCCGCTTCAAATGCCAGCGCACCCCAGTTGGGGAGTTCCGGCCCCACGACCGAACCCCACAACCGAAAGCCCCGCCCTCTGGGCACCCGCCATCCACTCTCCTCTCGGGCGGGCTCACCCCACTTGGGAGCGCTCAGTCCGCTTCCTTGCTTTCCTTCAGAATGTCCCACGGTCCACCGATAGAGTCACCGAGTCACCTCGTATACACCAACTCGCAGTCAAGGCGGAGCCACCCACTACGCACCGCGCGCCACGCTCTGCTTCCTCCACCCTCCCCTCCCCATGTCGGCCCCCCGCGTCAACTTCGTCATTCCGCCGCCTCGGCGCCGCGGGAAGTCAGGACCCTCCCCTCACAGGCCTGGAGCCCCGCCTTCTTCCCGCGGTGGCCACCTGGGCCCCCGCCCCCAACATCGAGCGCACCTCCCTCTGCTGCTACTCGACTTGGGAACTTGAGGATCGTCACCCGACCCCGCCCCCTAGGCGCACGCCGATCGCCGGGGTTCCGCCCCTTTGAGGGCAAGTCGCTTTCGCCCCTCCCCTTTGTAAATATTCTTCCGTATCTGGCGAACCTGTTGACTCCGCCTATCATCCTAGCGTCACTTATACCCAACTATCTACGAAGTAAACCGAAACTTGTAGCCCCACCCGCATCCGGCCGCGTGTGGTCCCGCCCACATCAGAACGGCGACCCTGACTCGACTATCTCCGAAGAAAACCGAAACATGTGGCCCCGCCCACGCCGACGCCCCCACTCGGTTCTCGACTATCTCCGAAGTGAGCGGAAGTTTGTGGCCCCACCTCCAGTGAACTCAAGCTCCCGACTGTGCCCGAAGGAACCCGAAGGGAGACCCCGCCTCATCTCTCACGCTACGCTCCAGACCCCGCCTCCTTTCCGAAGCCTGTCTGTTCCTCTTCGGGCCCAAGGCTTTCGGCTCCTCCGCGTTCCGAGCCAGAAGCCCCGCCCCTTCACGTACTCGGAGCTCGGAGCCCATTGCAGACCTGGACTCGAGTGCTGCTGCCGGCTCGCGCTCCTGGCGCCCGCTCCCGGGCTCCTTTCCTGCCCGCCCGGGGCCCTGACCGTGGCCTCATCCCCGGCCCGATCCGTGGGGCTCGGCTGGCGCCCCGAAGGAGCAGCCGGCGCGGGGGCGCACTGGGCGGGGGAGGCGTGGCCGGAGCCGCGGCGGCTCGCGGGCTGGGACTGCTCGGCCGCCTCCTTCCCGGCGGGCGGCTCAGGTGGGCCGGGGTGGCGGCACCCAGTGGCAAGGCGGGGGTCCCACGGTGGCGGGGTACCTGCGGACTGGCGGGTGCGGGGCGGCCCCGGGGGCGCGCTGGAGCTCGGGGCTGGCGCAACCGCCTGTAGCTCTGTCGGGAGTGGGATCCGACCCACACTGGGGTGCGCGGGACATGCTGGGCCTGGGCCTGGGGAAAGGAGGGGCTCCGATCCCCGGATTCTCAATAGGAGAGGGGTCTGGAGCTCCAAAGGGGTTGGAGGCTGGAGCCCCGGGCTCCTCTGGGTGCTCTCGAAGGAGAAGGGCTGGGGGGTACGAATATCTGGTTTCACAAGGGCCGGGGAATGGGGGATGCAAAGAGGGGGTCTGGGCTCCTGGATCCTCGCTGGAAGAGGGGCTCGGAGGTCTAGACTCCTGGGCTCTCGAAGAGGAAGGGTCCGGGAGGGGTGCACCTTCTGGGTTTTTTAAGGAGGGGCGTCTTCAGCATGGGTGCAGGGAGTAGCTTTGATTTCTGCGTTTGAAAAGGTGGGGCCTGGGTGCTGGGAGAGCCCCACGCTTTACTGCGTTCTCAGAGGAGAGGAGGGCTGGAGCCCTGTGCGCTCTCAAAGGAGAGGGGTTGGGGGTGGATTCCTGTCTCCTCCAAGGATGAAGGAACTCGAGTCTGGGCTCCTAGGTTCTCAAAGGAGAGGCGCTGAGGCTTGGACTCCGGAATCCTAAATAACTGGGGTCCAGAGGGCTGGGTTCCTGGATCCTCGAAGAGGGAGGAGGCAGGAGGCCTGGATTCCTGGGTTCTCACAGTGAATCTGCCCCTCCCCCAGACCATGTCTCCAGAAGAATGGACGTATCTAGTGGTTCTTCTTATCTCCATCCCCATCGGCTTCCTCTTTAAGAAAGCTGGTGAGTCAGGTTCCCTCCCCAGTGGAAAATAAGGGGGGGACCCTCTGGAAGGTTCCAGGCTTATGCTGTCCCTTCCCCCTGCAGGTCCTGGGCTGAAGAGATGGGGGGCAGCCGCAGTGGGCCTGGGGCTCACCCTGTTCACCTGTGGCCCCCACACTTTGCATTCTCTGATCACCATCCTCGGGACCTGGGCCCTCATTCAGGCCCAGCCCTGGTGAGAATCTTGAGGGAGGGAGGAGGGGAGCGGAGAGGGAGAGGAGGGGAGAGGAGGGGAGAGGGGGAAGCAACCTGTTTCCTCTTTGTGTCTTTCTCAGTTTCTGCCTCATCTCTGGCTGTCTCTTGTTGATCAGTTTGTTTCTTTGTGTCATCTGTTTCTTTTTCTTTTCTTTTCTTTTTTCTTTTTTGAGACGGAGATTCGCTCTTGTTGCCCAGACTGGAGTGCAGTGGTACAATCTCAGCTCACTGCAACCTCCACCTCCCCGGGTTTAAGTGATTGTCCTGCCTCAGCCTCCTGAGTAGCTGGGATTACAGGCATGCGC